CTTCCAAAAGGTCACAGCCTTGAAAACCCTTTGTAGCAGTTCTGCTCTGCACGTGTGGGGTTGCCTGAGTTAGAATCAACTAACAACACTTAAATGCATCTGTGGTAATGTGGACGAAGAATAATTGTTAAGTGTATTATAGCATGTCTGTAGTTTGGCATGTTTTAAATTATTAACTGTGTATTGTTGGTTTTATTTTTAGTCAGTATAAATTCAGTTGTAAAAGCCAAAACAGTCTATAAAACCTGATAATAATGAAAAAAAAAAAAAGATGGTGATAAAAGTCAGATCCTTCTATAAGATATACAAAGCAATCCCAGATCCATTCCATAGTATTCAGAGGCAACTGCTTTTAAGTCTTTAGGTGTCTCTTCTGATACTTGTTGCTACGTTCCTTAATATCAGGCTTAGATTGCTTTTTAGATTGTATATATGGAAGTCTTGCTTTCCTCCATTTGTAACATGGAAGTGAATTTCTATCTCATAAACTTGCTCGTAGGATTAAATATGAATACATGCAAAGTACCTGGGATAGCACCTTTTATATAGTATAAGTGCTTAATACATGCTGGCTATTAATATCAGTGCTGTCCTCCCTCCTCTTCCTCTTTCTTATTTTTCTTCTTATTATAATATGTGAGAAGTGATGTTCAATTACTTGCTCTAGTTCTGGCAGTAAGTACTAGAATTGCAGTATGAACTGACTGCAGAAGCTATCCTCTTCCCAGTACATGATGCTCTCTACCAAGGTCAATGATTGGCCCAGGATTAGCAAGAATGACTAGCACATTGCCTTCCATAAAGCAAGATGTTGGACTACTTTTTCCTGCTTAAACCATAAAGATATTTTCATTATTTTTTATAATTCAGTAGCAGTGCCTAAGGCACTTGACTGCTAACCAGAAGGCTGGTGGTTCAAACCCACCAGACACTCCTCGGAAGAAAGACTGGGCAATCTACTTCTGTAGAGATACCACCTCAGAAACCCAAGGAGGGGTTGCTATGAGTCAGGACTGACTCCATGGCAGTAAGTTTTTTTTTTTTTTTTTTTAGTAATTGGAGCATGAGGAACTAAAATAAAATAATGTCCCCATGTAATTTTTTGTAATTTTTTTAGGGACTGTTTAGGCTAGATTTTTTTTTTTTTTTTTTGTGTGTGTGTGTAGTTTACTTTGACCTTTTAAGAATTATAATAGAACACTGAAAGTAACTTGACTTTCCAGTCCTTTTTGGTGGTGGGTTAACAGTAACACTGTGTGGTTATTGCTTATAGCTTATTAAGAAAGCTTCTCTTTGTATGGCTCTGAGGAAATCATTCTGTGTTCATGAATAGGAAATTAAAACTCAGCAGGTAACCCTTTTTGCATCTCAACTTTAGATTTGAATAAATGGCTTTATTATTCATTTCCTAACAGACTTGGTTCCTAATTGTGCCTTTTAGTCAGGCATCTAGGAATTCTTGACACCAAAATGTGTGTATTACAGGGTAAAAATAAATATAAGGAATTTTGAGTTAAATGAAGTTACAAGTATTTCTTTATTGAATAACCACTGAAACTTTTTAATATGGTAATGTGCATTATAAATCTCCCATGAAGACAATGGGAGTCTCCTCTCTCTGTAGAGAATCTCATAGCTGAAAAAACCCACTTTGAGAAACTCATTTGGCTATAAATACACACTTTGGAATGAGTTAAAAGTGATTTTTGTACTCAGTGGGAACTCAGGATAACTGGCAGGCCAGTGTCTAGTTAGAATGAGTCTCTAGAAAATCAGTTAGTGAAAATGGGGTGTGAATCATTTACAAGGCCTTCCTGCAAAGTGATTCGCAAACTTCTTAGTTTCAGGGTTCCCTCTTTACACTCTTTAAAAAAAAACAGAATGCTTTTGTTCATATGGATTACAGCTATTGATTTTTTTTTTTTTTTAAACAACCAATCTCACTGCCATCAAGTCAATTTAGACTGTGGTGACCCCCTTTGAGTTTCCCAGACGGTAAATCTCTACAAAAGTAGCTTGCCCAGTCTTCCTTCCATGAAGTGGCTGGTGGGTTTGAACCACCACCCTTCTGGTTAGCAGTCAAATGCCTTAGGCACTGTGCCACCAGAGCTGCTTGATTATTGATATTCACTGCTTTCAAAATTAAAACTGAGAAAACTTAAAAATATTTCATTAATTGAATGAAAATACATTTTTCAAAAACGAAAAATAACTGTTTACCAAAAGAAAACATTTTTGCAAGAAGAGTGACATTGTTTTATGTTTTTCAGATCTTCTTAATGTCTCTCTTAATAAACTATATCTGACTTTTCATACGTTTCTGCATTCAATCTGAATCGATTGAATCACATCCAGTAGCTACTGGGAAAGTCCACTGTACATTTCTGACAGAATGAAAGTGAAAAAGGCAAATGAAACCTAATATTATTATGAAAATATTTTGACCTTGTTGATCCCATGAGAAGGTCTTGAGGATTTAGGTGGCTCTGGACTACACCTGTAGAACCACTGCTGTAGTAAATAAAAGTGTTCACTAGGTCACTTCCTGAGCACTCATGCTTTGGATTCAGAATTGCCTACCTTGCTCTATTTCCTAATTTGTTCGGTGGAGCTACTGATAGGATCTATCTTTTAGTATTGTTGTTGTTGTTGTTGTTGTTGTTATGTGCCGTCGAGTCAAACCCGACTCATAGTTGTTAGGATTAAATAAAATTGCCCGTGCAAATAGTGATGTAATAGTAAGCACTTAAAAATGCTAGCTTTCCTTATCATTTCACAGTTTTAAGTCCTATCGTGGCACCCTTACTCAGAATTTTCCAGTGGCTTGCCAACTCACTTGTGGTAAAAGCCAAAGTCTTTATAGTGGCTTATGAGGCTTTTCTTCATGATCTGGCATTTTTTTTTTTTTTTAAATCTCTCTTCGATAGTATCTCTCATTTTCTGCTTGCTCTGTCCTCAAGTCTTCTGCCCTCTATACAAACAGCACCCTCCTTGCTTCCCCCTTCCCGCAAATCTTCCACAGCAGGCATGCCTTTGTATTTAGCATGTTCTCTGCTGGATATGCATTTCTGCAGATATTGGCATGTTTTGCTCCAACTACATTTAGGTTTTTGCTTTAATGGAACCTCAGTGAAATATTTTCTTTTTCTTTAATTTTAATCCCTTTTTACATATACATAAAGAACTCCAGTGGCATAGTGGGAAAGGCATTTGGTTGCTAACCAGAAGGTCAGTGGTTCAAATCTACCAGCTGCTCAGTGGGAGGAAGATGAGGCAATCTACTTCTGTAAAGATTTACAGACTTGGAAACCAAATGGGGGTCACTATGAGTTGGAATCGACTTGATGGGAGTGATTTGTTTTTTTACATACATACATACATACATACATACATACATACATAGGGAGCCCAAGTAGCACAGTGGTTAAGTGCTCAGCTGTCAACCAAAGGTCAGCAGTTCAAACCTGTCAGCTGTGCTGTGGGAGAAAGATGTGGCAGTCTGCATCTGTAAAGATAGTAGAGTTGGAAACCCTATGGGACAGTTCTGTTCTGTCCTGTAGGGTCACCATGAGTGAGAATTGACTTGATGGCAAAGGGGAATACACATATATTCCTTGTCTCTATCTTCCTTCTCTGCTTAATAGTATTTTTTCATATAGCACATTCTGTTTTTTAACATACTAAGTATAATTTGTCTGTCTTCACTAGAATTTAAGCTCTATGAAGGATGGATTTTTTTTTTTTTTTTTTTGGTCTAACTTGTTCACTATTGTATCCTGAATACATAGAATTGATGCTTGGTGCATATTTAAGTATTGAAAAAAAATATTTCTTGAATAAATGAATCATTATTATTGTTATAAAGATGAAAGAAAAATAGTCCCTCCTTCTAAGAAATGTGGTTTCAATGTGATCTTGTTGTTGTTGTTATGTGCTGTCGAGTCGGACCCAACTCATGCGACCCCTCCTTGGGTTTCCGAGGCAGTATCACTACGGAAGTAGATTGCCCCATCTTCCTTCTGAGGAGTGGTTGGTGGATTTGAACCACCAGCCTTCTGGTTAGCAGTCAAGTGCCTTAGGCACTATGCTACCAGAGCTCCCGTCAATGCGATATTGACTCTGAAGATAAAATGAACATGTAAAGTGTTAGCATGGCATATTGGATACATGGTAAGCACTCATTAATTAGTTGCTGTTATTGAAGGAGAAGAAACAGAACAGGAGCAGATGTTTTATATAGAAATGACCTGAATAAAGAAGCTGCAACCACATTTTAGGGATTAGGGTAGATACTGTTTAGAGGATACTAGAAAGATAAATTTGGAACCAGAGTGTAGAAGCCATTTGGATTTTTGTTCTGCGGGTAATCAGGAGTTATTAGAAGTTTATTAGGCAGAAGGGACATGATGGAAGTGGTAGGTTTAGAAGATGAATCCATTAGAAACCTGTGAGGTTGACTGGAGATTGTTCTAGCATAGGCTTAATCAGAAAATAATAAAGCATTTAGTAAATTTGTGGTAAATAATAAAGTAATAACATGTTTTTCAAAATCATAAACTATATCCACTTATTAATGCTTGACTTCCCTCAGATTGTGTTGTTGTTGTTATGTGCCATCGAGTCAGACCTGACTCATAGCAACCCCTCCTTGGGTTTCTGAGGCAGTATCACTACAGAAGTAGATTGCCCCATCTTCCTTCCGAGCAGTGGCTGGTGGGTTTGAACCACCAGCCTTCTGATTAGCAGTCAAGTGCCTTAGGCACTATGCTGTCAGTGCTCCCACAGATTGTGTAGTAGTGTGAAATTATTACTCAGTTGCAGTTGTGTATTTTGGACTATTTATGTAATTGCCAAATTTTTGCCAAAATATATAAACAAAAATTTATATATTTAATTTCATATATATATATATATATATTTCGTTTAAAACTAAGAGCTATGATATAAATTAAACCAGTGTGCTTATATTGGTAACTAACTTACTAAATGTACTAACATAGGACAAAGTATGTTTAGTCCAGCAAATATTGGTCAGCCTCGAAAGACTACATTATCTCCTGCCCAGTTGGATCCTTTTTATACTCAAGGAGATTCTCTGACGTCAGAAGATCACCTCGATGACACTTGGGTGACTGTGTTCGGGTAAGATTTCTATATCATTTACCTTTTTTGAAAGGTACTACCTCAACATTTTATAATAAATATTATCAAACATACAGAAAAATTGAAAGAAGTGCATGCAAATACCCAGCACCACAGATTCTACAGTTAAGTTTGCTTCATTTGCTTTTTATCTTTCCATCTATTAGTCCATCAACTCATTTTTTTTTTTTTTTTTTGGTATACATTTCAGAGTAAGTTGCAGACATCAGTACATATCACTCTGACATTTCAGCATGCATATCGTTAACTATAATTTAGTGTTTGTTCACAATTTTTCATTATTTATATTTTTAACTTATTTTCTCTCAGCATAATTGCAGGATGTTTGAGTAGGGTTGTCCCTTTAACACTTAGGGAACTCTTGTATCTTATAAAGCAAAACTCACTGCCATTGAGTCAGATCTGACTCATAGCAACCCCTCGGGTTTCCGAGGCGGTCTCACCGTGGAAGTAGATTGCCCAAATTTCCTTCCAAGGAGTGGCTGGTGGGTTTGAACCATCAGCCTTCTGGTTAGCAGTCAAATGCCTTAGGTACTACACCACCAGAGCTACCATACTAGTAGCTATTTCTCTGCATGTATTGGACTTACGGTACCCAGTTTTGAACTAACAAATTGTACTTCGTTTGTGTGTGTGTGTGTGTGTGTATATATATATATATATACACACACACACACACACACTATATCACTGTATCAAGTATATTCATAGTACTTTCTAGTCACACAATATTGAATATTAACAAAATAATACTGAATATTAGTAAAAGCAGAAGGTGACAGTTCTAAGTGTACTTTGTATAGAATTGTAGGTGCAAAGTATTTTCAGTTATCTTAGAGATCATATTGTATCATCTTTTACAGATGAGGAAACTGACATATAGACAGACAGATTAAGTGATGTGTTCAGAGGTTCACAACTAGTTATACTACGTAAGACTTGCTTCTGAAAGTAATTTTCAATCCTGGTACTAGATCTTACTATATTTTTTGTATAAAAATTACCACACGAGTTTTTCAATGGAAGAAAAATATACCATAAAAGTTTAGTAGATTTTATGTATTCATTTTATTTCAAATTTAATAATTCAAAAGATTTATAGGAAAATATACAGTGAAAATTCTCCCCCCACCTTTGTCCCCAGCTGCAGTTTTTCTCTTCAGGGCAGCGATTGCTGCCTGTCTCTGTGTATCCTCCTAGAAAGGGGTCTGTGCTGTGGGTTCCACTTAGGTAGAAAGCAGATTGTCACCTTGCCTTCTTCTCTGGAAAGCCCACATTCAGCCCTAAATCCATACCAAGTATATGGGCTTTTTCATTTTTATTTTTCTTTCATGTTTGAATTTTTATATTCTCTCATGAAATGGCTATATGTTTAAACTTGAATGTCCATTTCCAAGTCTGTTTTTCAGGTTCTGTAGTACAGATATCACTTTTAAGATTCTGTGAGTAATTAGATAAATTATTTGAAGTATTCTATTAGTCCCTTTCTTTATTTTTAAATCATACTACTTACCCAGTTATTTATATTTTGGTGCTTTTATGTTTTAGTAACCCTTCATATGAACTTACTCATAAGAATCGAGGCAGTCTTCTTTAAGGGATAAAACATTTTGTTTTGATCATTTATAGAGAACTGAATTTGAGAATTTTCAGGTGGTACTCAATGTACGAGCATAACTGTATGCTATATGGATAACTATAATTGAAAATTTTTTCTCTTTTAATAACAATAGTGTAATAATTTATGATTGCACACACACACAACCATACACCTCTAAAACTAGACAGAACTACAACTTCATAATTCTTTTCTAAGATCTATGATAATGGCAGTGAGAATGGAATTTTTAGAGATAGATTTTAGTAAATGAAATCTAATTTTAAGATATTTGCTTTTGGGTAATTAACTGGGTGGTGATAGAGTTTGCTGGTTTTTAGGGAAAACAGAATGGTCAAGGATCATCTATTAATATTCTGGACAGTTGAGGGGAATTTATCTCAAAACACTTGTAAGTGTGGTAATTTGCATTTGTATTTATTGTGTCAGTTGACTATTTTGTTTGGACAACTCTTTTTTTCAGGTTTCCTCAAGCATCTGCTTCCTATATATTATTGCAATTTGCACAATATGGGAATATCTTAAAACATGTGGTAAGGCATAATTTCTATTAAATTTAGGAATTAGGCGGAGGAAAGATAAGCTGTGAATTAAGGAAAGTTTGTTTCTGAATTTTATCTTATTTTTTTCTCCAAGTTTAAAAGTTTATAATTTTTAAGGTTAGATAGAGTAATTCTTTGGAGTCTAGAAGGCTGTAAGTTGCATAGAGTTTGATCAAAAAGGGGTAGAGACAGACACAAGATAAGAGAGTGAGAGTTGCAGTTTCACTTCCTCTTTTATTCTTAAACAGTTCAGTCTCTTAAAAAAAAGGTAGATTACACCAAACGTTATGTTACTATCTTCTTATTTGAGCTTGTTTTATTGGAAATAAAGGAAAAGGAGGAAGTGCCATACCTTACAAAGTTTTTTGATTTTTTTTGATTTAAGGATGACTTTTTAAAGAGGTTACTTTAGCTTGCACAGTAAGTTATAAATAATAACAACTTTTCTATTATTAGAGATTTATTTACTTAACCCTTACACAAAATCATATTGATGAATATAGTTTCAGAAAACCTCATGACAAGTGTTGATACATCTTTTTACAAGAAATAATTATCTTTTAAGAATTATTTCATCTTCGGAGAATATTTGCCATCTGGTTTTTGTTTTAGAGACTTGGTAGCTAGAAGGAGACTATTGAAACTGTTTGTAAAGGAATTTTGTTGAACCTTAATATGCAACTTGTTATAGGACACCAAGTAAAAAGTAGAAGTAGATTTATTGTCACATACTTGTATTTTCTAATGGAATTTACTATATTTTAAATTTTATATATTTTATTTTAAGAGACAACTTTATTCTTTGCAGATGTCTAACACAGGAAATTGGATGCATATTCGTTATCAATCTAAACTGCAGGCTCGAAAAGCCTTAAGTAAAGATGGGAGGATTTTTGGAGAGTCCATCATGATCGGCGTAAAACCATGTATAGATAAAGTAAGTTATTGCTGATAGAAGGCAAATAGCTTAATCTGTATGAACAGCACTGACTCCTGAATTTGGATGTCCACTCCCAAGTGAGTTTTCCAGGTTTTGTAGTAATGGTATCACTTTTAAGATTCCCTGAGTAATTAGATAAAATATTTCTGATAGTCTCTTTCTTCATCTGTAAATCATACTACTTTCCCAATTATTTATTTTTTGGTGCTTTCATGTTTTGGTAACATTTTATGTGAGTTTAATTGCAGTAAACAAAGCATTCTCCTCTAAGGAATAAAACATTTATGATCATTTTAAAAACCAAAACCACTGCTGTTGAGTTGATGCTGATTGTACTAAATTTCAGAATTTTGAGGTCATGGCCAGTGCATAAAAGCATATGACTGTAGAATTTAATATATAGTAGAAATTCACAACATTTAAAATTATGAACATAGTTATGTCAGTGATATCATTGGTGGTTATGTCACTTTACTTCACTGTGCCTGTTTTTCTTAGTTGGTAAAATATGTTGATGTTTATAGTAGATTTGTTAATGGTAAGCCAAAGATATCTAAACATAGGCATTTAGAATTTGGAGAAAATCCAGTCCAGCTTCTTCTTTTCCTGGGTAAAGGAATAGATGGTAAGAGTGCTTATGTAACTTGTCCAGAGTCGTTAATGATGAGGTATGGATTCTAAACCACTTGACTTCTAACCCATTTTCTGTTATTTGTGCAAGACAAAATAATATTCTTTAAGTACTTTAAAGTGATAGTGCTATTTCAATGATGTATTTTAATGATGTATATTGCATCAGTTAACTTTTAAATGGCTGAAACTTTTGTTTTATTTTCATTTTAACATACTTAAAAGTTATTGTATATTTGTGTACTATTAACAGTACTAAAGCAAATTTAAACTGTTGTCATTTGGAAAATCATTGTGAACATTCTTTGAACTTCTGTTACATACCAGGCACTGTCTTGTGCTGATACTGCATGTTAATGAACAAAGTGAACATGGTTCGTGCTTTTATTGTCGTTTACTGTAGCTGTGTAGTTATTATGCTGTAAAAGATGTTTGGAGAGGCAGTATTCCTTGTATTTGGGGCTACTGGGGACTAAATAGCATCAGACTCAGATGTTTATTCCTTTTTCTCAAAATCATTTTCTTCTTTCCTTGATGATTTTCCATAAAATCTTTAGAGATTGTTACTCTTGTGAACCTATAGTTGCAATGAGGGTATATGAGGTTGTTGAAGCGTGATCTGCACCTGAGTGTTAGGTCTCTTAAATGCTAGCTAAGAAGCGTGTATTGTTTTCTCAAGCTTAAATTATTTGAAAGAAAAATTACATCAGAATTTGCTTCTTTTAATAAAACTTTCATGGGAGCTCTGGTGGCATAATGCCTAAGGCATTGGACTGCTAACCAGAAAGCTGGTGGTTCAAACCCACCAGCCACTCCTCAGAAGGAAGATTGGGCAATCAACTACTGTAGTGATAATGCCTCAGAAACCCAAGGAGGGGTTGCTATGACTTGGATCCAACTTGACAGCAATGAGTTTGGTTTTGGGAGCTCTCGTAGCATAGTGCCTAAGGCACTTGACTGCTAACCAGAAGCCTGGCAGTTCAAACCCACCAGCCACTCCTTGGAAGGAAGATGGGGCAATCTCCTTCTGTAGTGATACTGCCTCGGAAACCCAAGGAGGGGTCGCTATGAGTCGGGTCCGACTCGAGGGCACATAACAACAATAACAACAAGAAGAACAATAAAACTTTCATTGTAAGTAGGATATAATACGGATAATATGTATTATGCTTATTAACAGAGAGGTTGTTTATCTTTTTTGTTCCAGAGTGTTATGGAAAACAGTGACAGATGCGCTTTACCATCTCCATCTCTTACCTTTACACCACCAATCAAAACCTTAGGTACACCAACCCAACCTGGAAGTACTCCTAGGATTTCTACCATGAGACCTCTTGCTACAGCATATAAAGCTTCTACTAGTGACTATCAGGTATTTTGAAGGATTGGGTTAAAAAAATTGTACTTTAAAATCTGAAGCACATAGCATGTTTAATGCCTTTTCATTGGAATGATTTCTATGCTATTGATATTTCCTTTTAAGATTGCTTTGATGAAATCTATTAACTTTGCATTTTTAAATTTCCTATTTTAATGTTAGAATTTAGTCAATTGGAAAGTCATCTTTTTTTTTTCCTCTAAAATTTTTGTATTTTGTTGAGAACATACACAGCAAAACATACACCAATTGAAGTTACACAGATACAATTTAGTGACATTTTTCAAGTAGTGCAACCGTTTTCAACTTCATTTTCTGAATTGTTCCTCCCTCATTAACATAAACCCACTGCTCCATAAGGCTCCTATTGAATCTTTTGAGTTGCTTTTGCCAATTTGATCCCACATAGGTCTTTTTTTTTTTTTTAATTTTTATTGTAATTGGGTCCATATAGCGGTTAATACACATTTTTTTTCATGACATTAACTGCAGTTCCCCACAATGAAACAGCTCTCTTCCTACTTCCACCCCGTAGTTACCTTTTCCCTGTGTCCTTCCTTCCCATGCACTGCCCCCACCTCCACTGTGCAAACACTGCTGTCCTGTTCTCCCCCCATTGATTGATCGTTTGATCAATTTGATCCCACATATCAATCTTAAAACTGCATAATACTCAAGGCAGACCTTTCTTTTTATTTGTTTTAAATTTTTATTGTGGTTTGGGTAAAAGTTTACCAAGCAAATTGATTAAGGCAGACCTTTTTTACTAGTTAAGGTAAATTATTGTTCAGTTTGAAGATGACTCCAGGGATGTTTTTAGTTTAAGATTTAAAGATCATCTCAGCAATAGTTCCAGGGGTTCATACATCCCACAGGCTCCAGAAAGTCCATGAGGATTTGAAAATCTGTTCTTCATTTTCTTCTATGGAATCTTTGATCAAAATGTTCAGTAATTGTAGCAAGGTACCATCTCGTTCTTGTAGTCTCATGACAAAGGAGATAGTTGTTCATGGAGGCAATTGGCCACTCATATTCCATATCCTCCTCCTGTTAGTAACTCTCCTACTTCCTCTGTTATTCCAGGTGAATAGAGACCAATTGTTGTGCTTTAGCTAGCCACTTGCAAGCTTTTTTTTTTTTTTTTTTAAACTGTGCTTTGAGTGCAAATTTACAGTGCAAAATTTGTTTTACATTCAACAGATTGTGTATATTTGATTTCATGCCCCAGTTACCATCCCTGACCATAACATACTCTCCTCCTCTCCTATCCCTGTGACTCCCCGCTCCCTGTGCCCCTCTTGCGTGTGCTGGCCTGTCTGTCCAGCTTTCCCTCCATATGACTGAGGCCCCTCTGGTGCCCCGATTCCTCTAAGGGGTGTGTCTTCCTAGAGTAGGTGGGTACATCGCCCAGGGTTGGGTGTTCTGCATATAAGTCTTTCTACTATTGGGCTGAGAGCTGATCCTTGGGAGTGAGTCCAATCCCAGGTCCGAAGGGTATCCTGGGGCCAGTCGACTCCATTTGACCAGGAATTCTGGTCATTCCTGTGTTTTTGAATTTTATTCCACATTTTTTTCCCACTCTATCCAGGATCTACAGTTTTGATCCCTTCACGAGTGGTTGGCCTTGGTAGCCAGGCACCATCTAGTTCTTCTGGTGTCAAGGTCCATCCATCATATCCTTGGACTAATTGTTTCCAGATGCCTTTGATTTTCTTCACTCTTCTTTGCTTCAGATGAGAGGAGACCAATAGTGCATCTTAGACGGCTGCTTGAAAGCTTTTAAGACCCCAGTCACTCCACAGCAAATTAGTAGGTAGAACAGAGGCACTTACCATGTTATTAGTCCAATTAACTGGGATGTCCTGTGAAACCATGACCCTAAACATCCAAACCAAAGGTAACAAATCCCATGAAGTATTTGGTTGTACATAAGCAGCCTCAGTAGCTGCTCTTTTTTTTTTTTTAGTCATTGTAAATATATTTATCATACAACTTTTGCCAGTTCAACTTTTTATAAGTGTACAACTTATTGACAGCAGTTATAATAATCAGCTCTACAGTGTGATTTTTCCATTGCTGTTAACCTCCCCTTTCCCTCTCTCTCCCACCCCTGATAATCACTAATGAACTTTGGTCTCTATACATTTGCTTTTTCTTATCTTTTTATATAAGTGAGGTCATACAATATTTGTCCTTTTGTGATTGGCTTATTTTACTTAGCATAATGTCTTCAAGCACCATCCATACTGTAGCATGTCTCAAGATGTCATTTCTCCCACTTAGCTGAGTATATACAGTATATTCCATTGTATTTATGTAACACATTTTGTTTATCCATTCATCTGTCGATGGGCATTTGTTTCCACCTTTTTGCCATTGTTAATAGTGCTATTGGTGTACAAGGCTCTTTTTAATCTCTGCTTTCAAGTCTTTTGGGTATACACTTAGGAGTGGAATTGCTGGGTCAGATGTTGTTACATGCTGTCAAGTTGGACCCAACTCATAGTGACCCCTCCTTGGGTTTCCGAGGCAGTATCACTATGGAAGTAGTTGCCCAACCTTCCTTCTGAGGAGTGGCTGGTGTGTTTGGACTGCCATCCTTCTGGTTAGCAGTAAAGTGCCTTAGGCATTACGCTACCAGAGCTTAAGTCTTTTGAGGAACTGCCACATTGTTTTCCACAATGGCTGTACCATTTTGCATTCCTAGCAGGAATGGATAAGAGTTTTAATTTCCCCACATCCTTGCCAACATCTTTTCTTTTCTTTTTTTTTTTTTTT